ACGTACCAAGATCCCTGTACTGAGCTCCACCGTCAGATATAAGTTATTTGCGGCAGGAAGTTTGGGGCAGTTCCCAGAATATGATCCAGACTTGTCAAAGATTTGGCCTAGCCATCACGTCGACCATCAACGATGAATTCATCAGTTCACACAACATTGGATGGTAAAACGACTCTACAGTACGCCTGGTATAACGCGTGTGCAACACACCTCATCGTTTAGATACACTAGACCACTTGTCAACACGGTCTTCGGAGCTTCAATTATACACGTGAATTATTTTACGAATCCATTCACACGTCGCAAGTTCTATTGTTGTTCAATCTTCTTGAATATCACATTAATTGCAATTGAGTTCAAGGCAAAGTCCATCAGGACATTTACTTAAGTAATCAAAACAGCCATATAGCATTATAGTAGGCTTGGGTAGATTGGATTAAATGATCAGCTGTGAGAAATACTTTGAGAAAATTGCAGGTAATGGCGATGGGCCACGCATGTCCAATCAACCATGGCCCTGGCTATACTAAATCATGTAAATGAGTCTGATTTGATCCGCTACAATTTTCGGACTTGCGTACGTATGGTTCGGAAGAGTTGTTGTCAGTGGTAGCTGTGTTGCGAGCGCGGCAGTTGGTAACAAGGTCCGTCTCGTGTGGGCGTGTGCCTGATTCCGGTTTAAGGTTTAAGCTACGGTTGACAACGGACGTGTGTAAGTTTTTCTGCCCACTTATCGACGTGTGACGACGAATATTCAATTGAGATTATTGCATTGATAGTTGAATTTTGCATTGCTTTAATAGTTGAATCCGTCAAATTACAGAAAAATGCCAAAACGCAGGAACAAGGGGAAGGGGATGCTGCTTCAGTATCATCTGACTGCTCCGAGACCAATCCTCACTCTCTAAGCCTAATCTCTCTTCAAGTGCAATGCCAACCTGGTCTCAAATGCCACCTCTCAGCCTCAATGACACTGTCCTACCAAGTACAGAGGTTGAGGTACATGACAATAATGATGACATGGACGACTTACATGTTAATGACACAGATACATTTGAGGGCTTCCTGCCTACGTGCCTAGGCTGGAAAGCTATAATAACTAGCCTACCTTCTGAATGCCAATGATCAATTTGAATCTCAGCAACACGCATCCATGCCAAACCCTAATCACCCGGCGCCAGCAATGATGCCATGGTCAGGAAGATGTGCCAGGTGCACGGGAATTTTTATTATCATTGCATCAATTTGTGCCGTGCGCCTTAATATCCCGGTAAAAAAGTGCACTGTGCACCAGCCTGCGCCGTGCTCCTAAAGTTGTTTAAAGATGAATGCGCGGCAACGTTATCACACACGAACAAATATCTGCATCACGTTGACTAGATTTGTAATGTGTTAACTCAGTTTCTAAGAGTCGGCAATGATATGAATATTTATTCTTTTTTCATAGATCACAATTCGGTTGGAAATTAATTACAAAACTGAATAGTAGAAGGCAACAATCCACATGGCTTGAGATTGGTTCCTTCTAACGAAGGACTGACTTTGGCAAATAGTACAAACCCGAATGTCAATGTCAGAAATACGTTACATTCCCGATATCCTCCAGGCTGGAGAAATGGGTTTGTGCGGTGCAAACCCATTGAAAACAAAAATACAGGCATGGCACTTTTTTTTTAGTTATCAGTTCTTGATTTTTGCAACTTTGGAGGTTACTTATTAAATTATATAGACGATTAAGATGAACAACAAGCATTTGTATAATATGAATGGCTTCAATCAATCAAGAGGACACATCACATGACATGGCGATGTATCAGTATTACGTAAAAGTCTATAAAGACGATGTTGCCATACCATTCAATTGGAAATTTCTGATGATGGTGTGTCAAGAAATATTTTATTTACAAAAGATTTCGCACACAAACTATTTTCCCATCAATTACAATGAAATTATCTCTGACTCCTTTCAATAACTGTAGAACCTCTAATCTATTGGCACACTATTAGTATATATAGAATAAGCTAAACCTGCCATCTAACACTAATACTTGGTACTTGATTACTTCATTCGTCATAGGTTCAATTTGTGAGGACTTGGTTCTTTACCACTTGCGTCACGTCCAGTCGGAATAACTGATTGCCTAGATACAAAAGGTAAACAAACGACGGTTGGATGTTGCCATAAGGAATTTGTAGAAAATTTTTTCTGGAATGAATTTCTATATTTTTTTTAGGAAAATTTCCATATAAAGGAAAATCATATATTGTTGATGGATAATTAAACGCATATAGGATATTATGAGTTTTTTGTTTGTTCCTTGACAAACTTTATTATGCGCCGACTTCTGCACGGGGTGTGATGGATGACCGGAATCTGTGCAAACGCCTGCGCGAAGAAAAAAATATTTAGATGACTGTGCGAGCTGCGCCAACCATTCGGTTAAAAAAAACTCAATATGCGCGGGAAAATTCCCCGAAAACCTGCATTATGCTGAGTGTGGCGATGATGAAACGTCGCAAACTGTTGCCATATTTATTTAAAAGCCTTTAGAATTCAAATCTACAAAATCGCTGAATTCCGTCCGTCTGACACCGTGTGTGACTAAATGCGGCATATTGTGAAACTAATTCTGACGGTGCTTCAAAATCGTAATTCGTAATTCCGACACCCCGTGTGAGCTGTGTTGGAATACAACACCCTGTGTCATGTCACGGCTGTGTATCATAAGTCGGACACTGTGTCAGAATTAGTTTTTATGTGTCTAAATCATCTCTTAAATCAATTGTCTAATAATGTATTTACCACTTAGAATCAGCAAATACAAGTATACATGAAGGATTCCTAATACATTCACAGACTTATTTAAAAGTCTCAAACCATAATATACTTTCTATACTACATTTACCTTGCTCAGTGAAAAAAATTTCACTTAATAAAAAATTACTGCATCAGTCATCACAAAATTGAGCATATAATGTCACAGATTTGAGCACTGGGCAACAAAGAATGAAAAGTAATTAACCTAAACTATGATTTATTTCTCCAAAAAAATATGATGGTTGTCACTAAAATATTCCTTCCTGTTTCAGGTATGTTGTTTTACAATCTTTTTTGTTATAGTGAAATCATTTGACTCAATTAAAATGGTGCAAAATTACAAACCATCCTGTAAGCTTACAGATACAGAAGAAATGCTACATGGCTGCTGATATGAAGCTTGCAGTGGACAAGGTCGTTGTCAATGCTCAATGACATGTCCATGAATACAGTAATATCACATTAATAATACGGTAATGTATGGATAAGGTAATATTATATGAATGAAGAAAAACCAAGTAAAAATCACAGAAAATTCATTCTACATTTACATCATCTACAAAGGAAGAGGAGGCTTTCAGAGTACTGTTAGTAATAGATGAGTACACTCAGCATGCTTCCAATATTTGAAATTGAGTTTTAGGTATTTCAAGTGTCCCTTTTTTACCCATTTCCAGATTAATTCAGGAGCCTTTTATATTGCGTTTAGCACCTTACAAATAGCATGTGGAATTTTTTTGGAGATGCCATACGATACCATCAACTGGGGCTACTGGGGACAGATTTGATCATTTTTTTGCTAATAATTGTTTATAACTTCTTACCATGAAACATTTCATAAACAAATTTAGGCTCATTTTATATTGCGTTTAGCACCTTACAAATAGCATGTGGAATTTTTTTGGAGATGCCATACGATACCATCAACTGGGGCTACTGGGGACAGATTTAATCATTTTTTTGCTAATAATTGTTTATAACTTCTTACCATGAAACATTTCATAAACAAATTTAGGCTCATTTTATAGCTCTTTGCGAGGGCTATTGAATGGCATTGTCAAAAAAATTCCATATGCTATTTGTAAGGTGCCAGACGCAAAATAAAGATTGTCCTGAGTAGCCCCTTCAGTCAGGGCTACTCGGGACAATGGGAATAAAACTTCATTTCAAAACATTTGAAGCATGCAGAGCGTACTCATCCATTACTAACAGTACTCTGAAGTCCTTCTCTTTCATTGTAGATGATGTAGAGGTAGAATAAATGACATTTTCTGTGATGCCACTATATTTAGTTTTGCAATATTCCAATTAGTTTTGCTACTAAAACAGTTTTATGCCGTGTCAGAGGACTGTCCCGAGTTACCCCACCTGTCCCGAGTAGCCCCGGTTGATGGTACTCGGAATGGGCAAGGTAACTCGGGACAGTCTGACACGGCGTAAAACCGTTTTAGTAGCAAAACTAATTGGAATATTGCAAAACTAAATATAGTGGTGTGTAAATGTCAACATTTTTCCTATCTATGTAGTATAAATGAAGTTAAAAAATACTACATTTGCTAGCTTTTAAAAATTCATGAAAAAATGGTGAAAATGATATTTTGAAAAGTTACTTCTGCTAAGGTCTGTAGTAAAAAAATATTTGCCATAGTAAAAAATTTTGCTTAGAAAAAAGTGGCAGACAAGTGTCAGCATGAAAACTTTATTTGCAGAATTTACATACCTCGATCCAAAAAAAATGGCGGCCATTTCCGCATGGTGGGGCTACTCAGGACACCCCCAAAAACACATTTACAGTAGAACCTCAGTTAGCAAAGGCTCCAGTTAAGAAAAAAATTGATTAAAAAAACAAAGAATATTGATTACCGTACATTAACCTCGCTCAGCAAAAAAATTTCACTTATCGAAAAATTAGTGCATCATCGGTCATCACAAAATTGTGCATAGAATGTCATATATAGAATTGTGCACCAGGCATCATAGAATGAAAAGTAATTGACCTAAACTATGATTTATTTCTCCAAAACATATGATGGTTGTCACTAAAACATTCCTTTCTGTTTCAGGTACCTATGTTTTTCACGATTTTTTTTTATAGTAAATTCACTTAACCCAATTAAAATGGTGTGAAATTGCAAGCCGTCCTGTAAGCTTACAGATACAGAAAAAATGATATAAGGCTGCTGATATGAAGCTTGCAGTGGACAAGATCGTTATGCTAAATGCTCGATGGCATGTTCATGGATAAGGTAATATCGCATCAATAATATGGTAATATCGCATCAATAATACGGTAATTAATGTATATGGTAATATCATATCAATAAAGGAAAAACAAGTAAAAATCACAGAAAATGTCATTTATTCTACCTCTACATCATCTACAATGAAAGAGGAGGACTTCAGAGTACTGTTAGTAATGGATGAGTACACTCTGCATGCTTCAAATGTTTTAAAATTGAGTTTTATTCCAAGTGTCAAGTGCCCCAAGTATCCGAGTAGCCCCGTCAAACGGGGCTTCTCGGGACACTCTTTTTTTTTTGCTTCTGGCACCTTACAAATAGCATATGGAATTTTTTGGAGAAGCCATGTGATAGCCCTTGCAAAGAGCTTTGAAATGAGCCTAAACTTGTTTATGAAATGTTTCATGGCAAGAAGTTATGAATGAAAAATGTTCAAAATTGTCCCGAGTAGCCTTGGTTGACGGTACTTCATTGAAGTATTTTTATCATTAGGTATTCTTTATTGCTTCAAAAGCTTACCTGTTGTTTATCTTTATATTAGATTAGTGTCATTGTTTGAGGAAAAGACAAATGTTCACATCCATTTTCTAAGCTCCCAAGTTAGTTTTTGATTTCAAAATTGTATATTTATATGTATCATGAACCTCAGTGTGTTATTTATGATGTGTTTATCATTTGTTTATATAGGTACCTATTAAATTTAGTTTATATCTCAAAAACTTCTAATTTTGTTAAGATCTGGTATTCACTCTATAATACTGATAGTATTATTTTCTTAATTTTTCAGATCTGTAACGTGATGTCAAGATTTAGTCGCTGGTCATCTGAGGATATGAAGCCTGCTCCTCCAACATTACCATGTGTTCCTCTCCAACCCACCGCCCTCAAAGATAAAGCTACAGTATCTACATTTGTTGATTCAACATTTCTGCCTACCATAAAAACTGCAACTTCTACTCAAACATTTGGTGAAAAGTTATCAAAGCATCCAATCAAAAATGATGCAATTTTCTCTAAAGCAGTAGGAAACAACCTCAAACCTGAAAAATCTACATGCAGTTTGAGAAAACTCAGCACATCTATTCTGGCCACAACTGACAACGCATTTTGCCATCATCAATCAATTGGTGAAATCCCTGTTGGAAATAAAACTAAATTAGCTCCCATTTGTGAAGTACAGTGCTGTTATTCAACTAAAGACTCTGTAGAAGAGAACAAGTTGAATAGTGAATTCATTTCCACTGAAACAGTTGCTACCTGCTTGCCTGAATCTCTTCCTTCAGCTAAATTAATTTACATCCAAAATGTGTCTAAAAATGATAATAAGGCTGCAAAAAGTGAGCATTCAAATCTACTCAATCCTGAAAATCCTGAAATTTTGACAGGAAAGCTGAAACAAAATCTCAATGCTGCTGACAGTTTGTCCAAGTCAATTCATTTTGATCATGGTTTACTTACATCATTTGACAATGCATCCATCAAATCCAGAAAAAGTGCAAGTGAAAATCCCTCAGCAACACCTCAAATAGGTTGTTTGTCAAAGATTTTAAATAACACTCCAGCAGATTATGCATTGAGTAGATTGCAACCTTCTGTTCCCAAACAGATGAATAAAATTTCTTTGAACCTTGAGAGCAACATATCTTCTGGTAGGCACATTTTCCTTCCTGGCAACATGCCTCATCAAACTAATAAAGTGAATAATATTGTGTATAAAGTAGGTAATTCTTCATTTGATGAAGATGACACTGAAGTTGAAGATTTTCTCAGCCCTTCCGATAGATGGGCTTCCCAACCCAAGAGTTACAGAGGTCCTAGAAAAGACTTGTTGGCTCTTAATAGAAGAATGGTCAAGCGGGTCAGTAATTATATGAATTTATTTGCTTCTCTATCATGCCTTTTGGTTTTAGCTTCATTTGATTTCTATGCTTGTTGGATGTTCCCATTACAGTTTAAAAATAATGTTTTACCAGGGAAGTGAATGCAACAAATCAATTGTTTTCAGGAAACATTGAATATTTTTATTTATTGTATGATACACTATGACTTTATTGTTTGTTTGACTCATACCTGTTTGATTTTCCCAGGTTGCAAGCATACACTATCCCGACACAACAACTGATGGTGAAACAAGTGGAATGGGAAGCTCTTTGGATGAGCTTGTTGAATCATCCACTGAAAGTGCATCTGAATCCTCATGTTCATGTGCAGTTGATAGCACATTACAAAACTTGCCTTGCCAATTCAGAACTCATGCCAATAAGTCTGAGTCTAGTGAGAATAAGACCATTAGGGAGATATCACTCAGCTCATTGAGTAGCTTGAAGGATTTTCCTTTGACCCAGGAGTCCTTAGGAAATAAACCTCAGCATTGCTCTTCAATTAATCTTGATATGTCTCATTCTACTCAAGATAAAAGAAGTTCTCTTTTATTTATTCCTTTGCCTTTATCCTGTCAAGAACCACAAGCAAGCAAGTCAGATGATTTTCAAGTGAATCCTTGTCACTCCGCATCATCACTTCGAAATAAATCTCGCAGTGCCATATCACGATCTGCCCTTGCCAGCTGCTCGGCTGATGTTGGTGATGGAAATAAATGCTTTACTGATTCGTCCTCAGCTCTACCAAAGGTAACAATTTCAGTTTATTTCCATTTTAAATGATAAGGTACATGTAGTTAAAACTGTTTACAAATTTGTGTGTCTTTCTATTACCTGCATGGTTCAGTATTGCAATTTTATATTTATCAGTTATAACATCCATTTGTGCACTTCAATGAAAAAATGCTAATTTATGAATGAGGACAAATGGAAAGGCAATTTGACTTCTTGCAAGCTGTATGCGATTTACCTTAATAATTTTAATTGATTGGGTTTTTGATAAATGCATTATAAAAAGTTCTCATATTAGGCTAGCAATCTCTATGGCCATGATGATAAGTTCCCAATAAAGAAAATTATTTTGTTTAACAATAAAAACTTTGATAAGGCAAACTGGTCATTCTCTTAAATTATTTTTGAAGAACTGTCCTGCATTTTATCTTATTAGGTTTGGTAAAGTTCCAATCTGCCAAAAGTTGGATCAAAATTCCATCTATTTGTTGTTGCACTAAGTTTCTGGAAATTTTCATTGGTATCACTCATACTCTCTTAACATTGTATGTGCTTCTGTATGTGCTTTGATCCCTATT